TTCCTTTCCTTTCCTTTCCTTTCCTTTCCTTTCCTTTCCTTTCCTTTGTTCCTCCTTTCCTCTTTTCCTTTCCTTTCCTTCCCTATCTTCCTCTCCTCTCCTCCACTCTCCTTCCCTCTCCTTCCCTATCTTCCTCCCTTCCCCTCCTTCCCTTCCCTTTTTCCATTCTGGGATGCTGGCAGAGGAGAGATTGCATCCCAGGGGTGCAAACCCCAAGCTGATTTATTTGGAGAAGCTGAAAAATGAACGCATTCCTCAAATCACACGAACAGGAGCCTGCCTTTCTCCACTGAATCCTTAAAATGTAGGGGGTAACATCTTGGCAGGGCAGAGCAAATGTCTTGCCTGCTTGTTGCTTGGCAACAGCACTGCAGAAGAGGCCTTATTTTTGTGGGTGCGTGTGGGGGGGGGGAACGGGACCCCATCCTCTTCAATGCCCCTCTTCCCAAATGGCCCTGTAGGTCTGGGGATCCCTGCTTTTCTCCTTCAACCGAGGGATGTTTTGACAAGGTCTTAAGTGAAATGGATTTTGTCTGCTTCCTTGGGAAGCCGTGCCAATCTCCAGAAGGACCTTGCTGGTTGAGCGCAAAAAGCCTTCTCGTTCCAGCATTCCAGCCTTGTCTCCCTTCCACTGCAGAAGAAAATTGAGATGCATTAGATTTGCCGGCAAAGCAGATCTGAAGGCAATTGCGTTTCCCTGCAATTGACACAAAAGATATTTATTGTGGGTAAACGGTGGTAGATAGGAAATATGTCCCCCTCCATTCTCTCTCTCTCTCTCTGTCTCTCTCTCTCTCCCCCTCTCCTCTCTCTCTTCCTTTCACTCTCTCTCTCTTTCTCTCTCCTCTATCTCTTCCTTTCTCCCCCCTCTCCTCTCTCTTCCTTTCTCCTCTCTCCCACCTCTATCTCTCTCTTCCTTTCTCTCTTCTCTTTCTCTCCTCTCTCTCTCTCCTCTCTTCTTCCTTTCTCTCTCTCTCTCTCTCCCTCTCCTCTCTCTCTTCCTTTCACTCTCTCTTCCTTTCTCCCCCCTCTTTCTCCTCTCTCCTCTCTCTTCCTTTCTCCTCTCTCTCCCTCCTCTATCTCTCTCTTCCTAGGATAATATTCTAGGGTCCAATCAGAATCAATTGCCAGGATCAAAGGTTTATTCTCCCAAGCTTTTGGGAGCCCATCTTCAGGGAATTCTATTCTCTCTCCAGAATTTCTCTCTCTCTCTCTCTCTCTCTCTCTCTCCCTCCCTCTCTCTCCCCCCTCTCTCTCTTCCTTTCTCTCTCTCTCTCTTTCTCTCTCTCTCCCCCTCCCCCCCTCTCTCTCCTGAATGTTGCACAGCAGCAATTTGTACTCAGTCCTTCTGTCTTTCTGGAATATGTTTCCTCTCCTACCTTTAGGCAAGAATACCACTGCAAAAAGGACACGTTGCTTTTGGCAAAAGCTCAGTGCTAATTGATTGCAACGAGCTTTTGAAATCCAGCCAGAGGCTACAGGTTGTCCACTTCTGATCTACAATCCTAGGCTGCTGCAAGGCACGGGTGTGCAAAGGTGCACTGGATCAGATCACGGAGGTTGCATTAGCTCGCACGCTTAATGAGGAACCCTTACGCTTGTTTTTCCCCATGAATTGGCCTAATCGCTTTTGAAAGCAGAGGGTCTGGCTGGGTCTTGCAGTCTGACGCAAATGCACGAAATACAGGAAGTTCTTGTTTAGCAGCTGCCTCGGATAGTGACCGTTTCCCAAATGCAAGGATAAAAAATGGTAACAAAATATTCCTTCTCCAACCAAGGCTTGCATTTGCAACAACAATAAGCCTTCAGTGTGAAACTGATTAAAATCTTGTCAGTCTCAGGCAGCATCTGTTGGGAGCGTTCTAATCAACTGCTTAAGTAATCTGTCAAAATATCAACCCCAAGAGGACTAGGAGAGAAATTTATCTGAATGAGAAGAGAGACTTGCAACCCCGCTCCTCTCTTCCTCCCTCGCTCCCCAGTCACTTAGCAAATGATCGAGTCATTGGACCCAATCATCAGGAGACAGTGAGTTCTAGTCCTCCCTTAGGCATGAAAGCTGGTTGGGGGACTTAGGTCAATCACCAGGAGACAGTGAGTTCTAGTCCTCCCTTAGGCATGAAAGCTGGCTGGGTGACTCTGGGTTAATCACCAGGAGATGGTGAGTTCTAGTCCTGGCTTAGCCATGAAAGCCAGCTGGGTGACTTTGGGCCAGTCACATCCTCTCAGCCCAACCCATCTCACAAGGTTGTTTGAAAAACAGCAGGAAAAACATGTGTTGGATATATTCGCTTCCTTGGGTTATTTGTAAAAGCAATAAGGGGGAGATAGAAATAAATAAATAAACTTGTAGATGTCAACTCGCGAAGCATTCCTGACCTGCTCTCGAGTTGCCATAGGCAGGGGGATGAGGAACCGAGCCTCCCAGCTGCAGCGAGGGAATTGCACTTCAGTCAAAAACAAAAGCACATTCCAGCCATCTCTATGTCAAGGCCATCTCCACAGAGACCCACAGAGGCCAGAGGGAGGGACTCTACAACCCACAAAATTGCTTTGTTGGGGAATGTGACTGATAACACACCTTGGGGTGGGGAGGGGGAAACAGGGTCAGAGCTGGGGTGTGAATTAAGTGAGGTTAGAGTTGGCTTCACTTGGAACCTGCCGACATGAAGCTCCTAATGAATATCTGGATTTCTTTTGAAGCTTGACTCCGAGGCTCATGATTTAATTAGGGCATCAGTTGGAACTCTGACAGTAGAAATTTTAAATTCAGGGGTTGCTGCATAGACGTCAGGAATTTTTGCAACGTAAGTATCGTTTTCTATCTTCCAAACGCTTCCAACCTTCGGAATTCTAGGTATTACGACATCATGGAAGACCGCATCTCTCCAGCTCTGGTGTCGGACTATCACAGCCGCCTTTCTCAGTGCAAGGAACTCTACGGCAAGTTCCAAGTCCTGAGGAACAGCCTTTCGGCCTGCGATTCCGACTCTGAAAAGGACAACGTCTCTGTGGTGGAAGGGATGAAACTCTACGACAAGATCGAGCACCTGAAACAACAGCTGGAAATGATTGAAAACTTTCTATTCCGGTAAAGCAAATATTTAACGGCTTAAAAACTCTGGAACAAAGAATTTACGGCTGCCCGCAGAACCTAATCCAAAGCAGTTTATTTCCCCTCCCCCCCCCCCCCCCCCTCCCCCCCACCTCCCCACGGTTTAAATTCTTTTGTGGAATAATTTTGTTTGCTTACCTCGGTCTTGAGGACCAAAGCAGAAAATAGGTTAAATATTTGGTGGCAATTAATGGATTTAATTTTTTTCCCCCTGTTAAAAGTAGGGGGGGATCAGAAGTCTGCCACCTGCGATTTTAAAAGCTGTCATTGCAGTTTTTGTAACAGAATAATTAGAATAACAGAGTTGGAAGGGACCCTGGAGGTCTTCTAGTCCAACCCCCTGCTTAGGCAGGAAACCCTACATCACTTCAGACAAATGGTTATCCAACATCTTCTTTAAAACTTCCAGTGTTGGAGCATTCGCAACTTCTGGAGGGAGTTGTTCCACTGGTTAATTGTTCTAACTGTCAGGAATTTTCTCCTTAGTTCTAAGTTGCTTCTCTCCTCAATTAGTTTCCATTCGTTGCTTCTTGTCCTACCCTCAGGTGCTTTGGAGAACAGGTTGACTCCCTCTTCTTTATGGCAGCCCCTCAAATATTGGAACACTGCTATCATGTCACCCCTAGTCCTCCTTTTCATTAAACTAGACCTAGCCAATTCTTGCAACCAAGTGTATCAGAATGCAAAGCAGATTTCTGACTTTGAGGCAGGAAGCATCTTAAGGTAACACCAATTATAGTTTAAGCCAGGGGCGTCCAACTTTGGCAACTTTAAGACTTGTGGACTTCAATCTCCAGAATTCTCCCTCTTTCTAGCCTGCTGCCTTAACCACCAGACCTAACTGACTCTCCTTAACTAGCTGCTTGGTTGTTGTTGTTTTTTAGATACGTCTTTGGTTATAAGAAGCACGCTGGACTCAAGGCAAAAGGAACCCGTTCTTCTAATGTCACCATCACCCACGTTGTCTGTGCTACAATCCAGTCGAGCTTCCTACAATGTCTGGTCAGGGACAAACTTTCTCCGGAACACTTCAACGAAGACATTGAAATCCAGGTTGGCTTGGTTAAATTAATTATTTCTGGATAGATCGGTATCTTCCCTTCTCTTTAGATGCCACGAAGTTGGCTAGATAGCACTTCCTGGGTTCTTTTTTTTATAGCAGCCATCAAGCTTTTATTTAAGGTTTAATTTAATTTAATTTAATTAATTCAATTTATATGCCGCCCCTCTCCGAAGACTCAGGGCGGCTCACAATACATTTTAAAAAATCATTATAAAAAACATTTAAAAATTAAATTAAAAACATTAAAAACTCATTCACGCCATTCATGGCCAGATCTCGCCAGATCACAAGAGCGAGATCAACGGACCCAGGCCTGCCGGAAAAGCTGGGTCTTCACCCCTTTTCGGAAGGCCAATAGGATGGGGTTGTTAACCAGCAAGATTTACTGAACACAAACACGATCAAAACATCATGGAAAAATGAGAAATAAGAGGAAACTAAAAAATAAATACCGTATTTTTCGGAGTATAAGATGCTCCGGACTATAAGATGCACCTACCTTTTTTGGGGGAGGAAAACAAGAAAAAAAAATCTGCCTCTGCCTCCCAGCAATTTGCCTTCACAGTACTTTACAGCCCTCTCTAAGCGGCTTACAGAGGCAGCCTCTTGCCCCCAACAATCTGGGTCCTCATTTTACCCACCTCGGAAGGATGGAAGGCTGAGTCAACCATGAACCGGTGAGATTTGAACTGCCGAACTGCAACTAGCAGTCAGGTTGAAGTAGCCTGCAGTACTGCACTCTAACCACTGTGCCTTCTTGGCTCTTTCAGATAATCTTATCTGAATTAGAGTGAGCTTTCATCTCACCCTGAATCCAAGTTTGTTTTTTGGCTGTTGTTCCTGTCTGTTTGTTCTGCCTTTTTGATACGCATCGCTCCACAATGTCGGGTTTGCCAGCTTTCATTATTTTGTGTGTTCTTTCTTAGTTCCACCACGACCCACAGTCTGCTTTGAATGCTTGCTATGAAGGAGACCGGGTCATAATCTGTCCCGGCCATTACATTATTGAAGGAGCATTGCCGATCGCTGATTCTGTTGCCCTAGAAGGTGAGTATTTTGGTGGAGGCTGGTCTATTTTTAACTTTCCTGTCTTAAAGAGAGAGAAACCCCTTTTTCCTGGATGGGAGTATTCCCGTAGCACACATTTTCAGAATTACAGATTTGGAAGGGACCATGGAGGTCTTCTAGTCCAACCCCCTGATTAAGCAGGAGACCCTGAACCAATGATGGCGAACCTTTTCGGCACTGAATGCCCAAACTGGAGTGCCGGAAACCTGAAGATCAGCTGGCTGGTGCGGGCATGTCTGTTTTTTGGCTGGTTTTGGCTGGTTTTTTTGGCTGTTTTGAGGCTGGTTTTTGGGCTGTTTTGAGGCTGGTTTTTGGGCTGTTTTCAGGCTGGTTTTTGGGCTGTTTCCAGGCTGGTTTTTGGGCCATTTTCAGACTGGTTTTTGGGCCGTTTTCATGCTCCAGCGCCCACGAAGACCAGTGCACCAGAAACTGGAAGAGCAGCTGGAGATGGTGTGCGTGCCCACAGAGAGCGTCTCTCGTGCCACCTCTGGCATGCATGCCATAGGTTTGCCATCACGGCTCTAAACCATTTCAGACAAATGGTTGTCCAACATCTTCTTAAAAACTTCCAGTGTTGGAGCATTCACAACTTCTGGAGGCAAGTTGTTCCACTGATTAATTGTTCTCACTGTCAGGAATTTTCCCCTTAGTTCTAAGTTGCTTCTCTCCTTGATTAGTTTCCACCCATTGCTTCTTGTCCTTCCCTCAGGTGCTTTGGAGAATAGCTTGACTCCCTCTTCTTTGGGGCAGCCCCTGAGATATTGGAAGACTGCTATCATGTCACCCCTAGTCCTTCTTTTCATCAAACTAGACCTACCCAGTTCCTGCAACCGTTCTTCATGTTTTAGCCTCCAGCCCCCTAATCCTGTTTGCTGCTCTGCTCTGCACTCTTTCCAGAGTCTCAACATCTGTTTTATATTGTGACCAAAACTGGATGCAATATTTCAAGTGTAGCCTTACCAAGGCATTATAAAGTGGTCCTGTTCCTATGATTTTTATTCTAGGTGTGTCCAAACTACACCAGATTTTCACCTCCCTTGTTTATATCTCTCTTCTGCATGTCCCATTTGATGTCCCATATGTATATACGTGAATGTATATTCCTATATATTTTAATATGAGAGATAAAATTGAACAAGGACTATTAATATAGGATTAAAAAAAAAGGAAGAGGTAGGAAAAAAATAAGAGGAGAAAAGTGCAGGAAGCAAAGAAGGAAATATAAATAAACAAATTCAGATTTTTTTTACAGCAATCCTAAGAATGAATGTAAATTAACCTCTTATTTTATGTTGCTGGTCTGTTTGAATTCCTAAATGATGTTTTTATTTTAACACCATAGTGCAGTTATCTTGGGAATGACAGATTTGGAGATTCTGAATGCAAAGTGGGATAAAACTCTTAACTCCGAGGCCCATTTTATGCAGAGCAAACTTTTTAATATCATTAAACTCCTTTTTTCCTAGCTTTCCATATTCTGTTATTTAATTGGCAGCACCAATTGTCTATAATTAATTGTCTAGCGTTTCTGAAGGTGTATTTCCTTGATGAGCTCATGAAAGGTTGCTTAATTGCTGGTTTTTTTTAAAAAAAAATCCCTGTTTTCTTTCTTAAAAATAAATCCAAATCAGGGAACAATTTAAAGAAAATGAGAATAAATTAAAAAGCGAGGGTTTAAAATTTATTGTAAGCTAAGGGACACGTTCAGTCAAAACATTTAGGCCAGGAGGTTAAATGAGTTCTGCTGGATGATTGGATTCATTGTTGGTTATTTCCGTTGTAAGATGGGAATTATTATTATTTTTTTTTCAACTTTAGACATTCGTTATCTGAATTGTTGGTTTAATTTTCATTTTTGGTTTTACTTTTCATACATCGCCGTGAGATGGATGGCCGCATAAATGCTATAGGCAAACAAACAAAAACATATAAGAAAGATGTGCTGAATATCAGTAACAGCTTAAAGTCTATAATACAGAGAGAATTCCAAAATCAGTTATAAAGCAGCCTAACTAATGATTAGATGATCTTTAGTTGATGCCAAAAAGGTGCCAGGCTTCAGGCAAACCTTAATGAACCAGGAGAGAATTCTACAATTAGGTTTCTTGTATTAAGAGTGCCTATTTTTAGGTTCACTCACGGCAAAATATTGTCTAGATCCTAAACCACAGAAAACTTTCCAGTAATGCTGTGCAGCGTATCCGATTTAAAGGCAAAAGGGTTTCAGATCCTGGATGTGCAGGAATAGAATAGAATAGAATAGAACAGAACAGAACAGAACAGAACAGAATAGGATTCTGAATAGAATAGAATAGAATAGAATAGAATAGAATAGAATAGAATAGAATAGAATAGGATTCTGAATAGAATAGAACAGAACAGAACAGAACAGAACAGAATAGAATAGAATAGAATAGAATAGAATAGAATAGAATAGAATTCACAACTTCTGGAGGCAAGTTGTTCCATTGATTAATTGTTCTTATGATGTATTTAATGGCAGGTGTGATTTACTTAATCACTGCAACAAAATGCTGTTAAATCAGTCCCAACTCACTTAACCAACCAGCTTGCTTTGCAACAGAGCTTCCGGTCCCAGTTGTCATATGTCAAGGACTACCTCTATGCTGTTGAGTCCAAAAGGTGAAGAATCTTTGTTACTTTCCGAGTTTGGTTTCCTTGCTGGCGTTTCATTACCCAACTAGGTACCACTATCAGTGCTACCGTAGAAGGGAGTGGGGGTTGGCTCTCTCTTTATATACCAACCCCATTCCCTCCTAGCACTGATGAGTTTTTCTAATTGAATAATGAAACATCTGCAAGAAAGCAACCGAAGAAGCTCATAGGGTACCAGGGAACCCCTCATTTCAATTCTGAGCTGCACTCATTCTCCTTTATTGAATCCAAAAAGTGTGCTTTTCTGTGCTTTTCCATGGATACGTTCCAAAATCTTGAAGTTCTCTTTGCTAACACCCCAGAAATGAATCCTGGACCATATTTTCAAATTTCAGTTTCAATGCTCCTTTCAGCAAAGAGGCATTTTGCATGAAGCTGTTCTGAGCTAGGCTTCCTTAGAAATTAAACAGCACAAACTTAGTCCTGGAAAACCTCTTTAATTCATACAGCTGTAAATTACTTTCCATCACAGTCCGCAAGGCTTGATAAACTGTCTTTCAGAGGAAGGTTATCAACACCCACCTATCTCACGTGGAACGCTGCCAAAGAGCGAATTGCCAGACGCAGGGCAAGGCCAAACTTGGCACAGAGTCACAAACAGAATTTTCAAATCTTGAACCGGCCAGATGAACTAATTGCTTCCTGCAAAAGCTCCCATCCCATTTGCTTCTCTTTTATGTCTTATGGGAGGGGCCAATCATCTCCAAGCCTTACTCCCAAGTCGACCCTGTTTCCTTAATTGTTCCTGTGTCCTGGCAGCTCTGCGCATGTGCACACTGGGAACAGGCTCATGCTGTTCTTCTGCCTCGCTGATGTCAGACTCCCGAGACTCCGGAGGCAGCAAAGAACTACCAGATGGCCTTGGTCCCCTCTCTGCCTCAGACTCGGAGCCCTTATCCGAGCCTTCCCCAGACTCCAGGACTGGCCCACGTTCCTCCCCAACCTCTTCATTGTCCGAATCTGTTGCCAGCTCTGTTGGCCACTGGCGGGCCACAACAGAAGCTGCAGCTGGCTTGGGAGATAACACCCCCTGATTTTTAACACCCCAGATCTTTTTTTTAAAGAAACTGAGGAGTAGGCCAAGCTCCCTTATTCTGTCTGCAGGAAGAAGGTGAGGTGTGCCATTCATTCTTAACATAATAGGCATGTTTATTGCTCTTCCAGATTCTTGCGGCTTTCCGGAGCGAGCTTTTGTTGAAAGTTCATTCTTTATCTTGTCAAAACTCCGTAATAGAAAAAAAAAAGAGCCGAAGGGTTTTTTTTCTTCTTCTTTTTTTTTTAATTTCCTGCTGTTTGGATTCTAATTTTCCCCCTCCCCTTCTCTCTGCCAGTCATCTTTTCTTTTCCTTTTTTCACCCTTCCTTTTTTACATTGTTGGTTTTTATGATGATTCCCTTGCTTTCCCCCCCCCCCCCCCCCTTTTCCTCCTCTCCGACGTTTGATTTATGCAGATATCCACGCCAGCCTGCCGAACCCCTGCAGGAGATGGAGTTGCAATAAATTTCATTTATCGGTAGGGGTGAGGGATAAGCTGGTTTGGGCACACGAGGTGGTATCTGTGACAAATCGTATCCCCCGTCGGAGAGGTCAGGCAAACGGGAGCAAAGCGTATTAAAAGTGCGCTAGGCCAGCCTCGAGCCTGAAGCTCTTCAGGAACAAAAACCCGTGTCAAGTTTATTCACAGAGCCGATGCGGTGATTGATCAAGAAGTCAGGAAGTCTCCCTGCCTGTCACGGGAGCCCCTGTTGAAAGTCACGGAAGCAGAAGCGGTTTGAACGGCAGAGGCTGCTCACTGCGAGGGTTAATGATGCGGGAGGTATAATTGCAAGGAAGGCCAAACGAGAATTGGTTGTATTCTTGGCAGGATGCAGTTGAGATACGCCTCGGTTTTTTTTTAAGGAGGAAAGCCGGGCTTACTAGTACGGGGGATCCTCGACTTACAACCATTCGCTCAGCTATTATTCGAAGTTAGGGTTAGCACTGGGAAAACAATGATTTAGGAGCGGTCCTCGCAGTTTGACTTTTGCAGAATCCCCCCCGGCCACGTGATGAAAATTTGGGCGTTTGGCAACCGGTACAGCAATAGGGACCCGGTGGCTCAGTGGCTAAGATGCTGAGCTTGTCGATCAAAAGGTTGGCAGTCCAGCGGTTTGAATCCCTAGCGCCGCATAATGGGGGTGAGCTCCTGTTACTTGTCCCAGCTTCTGCCAACCTAGCAGTTCAAAAGCACGTTAAAAAATGCAAGTAGAAAAATAGGGACCACCTTTGGTGGGAAGGTGACAGCGTTCTGTGAGCCTTTGGCATTGAGTCATGCCGGCCACATGACCACGGAGACGTCTTCGGACAGCGCTGGCTCTTTGGCTTTAAAACGGAGATGAGTACCGCCCCCTAGAGTCGGGAACGACTAGCACATATGTGCGAGGGGAACCTTTACCTTTTATAGCAATAGCAGTAGCACTTAGACTTATATACCGCTTCATATTTCTTTACAGCCCTCCCTAAGCGGTTTACAGAGTTGGCATATCGTCCCCCAGGCAGTTGGCAGAGTGCTAGCAGTTCGATCCTGACTGGCTAAAGGTTGACTCCGCCTTCCATCCTTCCGAGGTCGGTAAAATGAGGACCCAGATTGTTGGGGGCGATAGGCTGATTCTGTGTAAACTGCTTAGAGAGGGGCTATGAAGCACTGTGAAGTGGTATATAAGACTTATTGCCATTGCTCTTGAAACATGGGGTATTTTGACCCACGCTTCAAATATTTCAAATGACCCTTCCATGTATTTCAAACCTAAAATATTTTGCACGGTCTCTAGCATGGACCCACGTGCATGTCTAATCTTAATTAAATCCTAGCTTCTTACAACACATCTCAAACATTTTTTTTTTAAGTTGACAGCTTTACCATGCATCTCTTCATTCGATCCATCTCTAGAGTTTGGAGATGCTTAAAAAACAGAAAATATATGCCATGACGCTGATGGTATCTATATTCCCGGTTGCCATGTCGTTATGCTAGTGACGGGCCATAAAAGCTTTGCATGCTCATAAATTTCTTTAAGTGGTTTGGTGTAAACAATAGCGGATATCTGAGTTAACTTAGCCTTGCTCTTAAAAAAAAAGAAAAGCAGTGATGTTAAAGACTTACCTAAGTCTGAGAAAACAGCAGACCTTTCCCTTTAAATGATGTAGAAGTCTATAAATAGGAGATCTGAATCGTGATATAATGTGACAGTGGAATCTAATAGATGCTTTTGTCATGACAAGATATTCAATTCTGTCCATTTCAAGATAATGGAAAGAAAAATCAGTCCTAAACTGGAAGGAGTAGTGTGGTCTCCCATTGCGTAACATTCACATATTTATTTATTGAATAGAATAATAGAATAGAATAGAATAGAATAGAATAGAATAGAATAGAATAGAATAGAATAGAATAGAATAGAATAGAATAGATTTAGAAGGGACCTTGGAGGTCTTCTAGTCCAACCCCCTGCTTAGGCAGGAAACCCTACACCACTTCAGATAAATGGTTATCCAACATCTTAAAAACTTCCAGTGTTGAAGCATTCGCAACTTCTGGAGGCAAGTTGTTCCACTGATTAATTGTTCTAACTGTCAGGAAATTCCTCCTTAGTTCTAGTTTGTTTCTCTCCTTGATTAATTTCCACCCATTTATCCTGCCCTCAGGTGCTTTGGAGAATAGCTTTGACTCCCTCTTCTTTGTGGCAGCCCCTGAGATATTGGAAGGCTGCTATCATGTCTCCCCTAGTCCTTCTTTTCATTAAACTAGACATACCGAATTCCTGCAACCGTTCTTCATATTTTTTAGTCTCCAGTCCCCTAATCCTCTTTGTTGCTCTTCTCTGCACTCTTTCTAGAATCTCCACATCCTTTTTACATCGTGGTGACCAAAATTGAATGCAGTATTCCGAGTGTGGCCTTACGAAGGCCTTATAAAGTGGTATTAACACTTTGCCTGATCTTGATTCTATCCCTCTGTTATATGCTTATATGCCGCCCATCTCAACTGGAGGCTTACAACCAATAGAAACAACAAAATGAATCATTAAAACGATAACTATCAGCACTAATAAAAATTTACCTTAAAAATTAGCAAAGATGGGGAGGGAGGGAGCAAGATGCACACAGGGAAAAGATGGGGTCTTATCTCAATCCATAGGGTACCTCCAGGATGACAGAGCCAGATGTTCATTTCTGAAGGCCAAGAGGGCAGGTGAGGCTGTCACCTTGAGGACAGGTTGTTCCAGAGGGCGGGAGCCACAACAGAAAAGTTTCTTTTCCTGGATCCCACCAGCCCAAATTCCTTGACCAACACTTTGCAGCGTGCCCCTTTGGCCAGCCTGGGTGGGATGAGCCAATCCCATTGAGAGGAGGTGAGGCAGTTCCTGAGATAACATTGAAATGGACACCAGGAGAATGGCTACTCACGAGCAATCTTGGTTCCTTGCTTATCACTGCCTTCTAAGTGGGGAGTATTGCAAGTCCTTTGGATGTCCAGCCTTTTAGACCTGGAGCTGGGGAGGTGCTTTAAAGCAGTGGTCACCAACCGGTGGTCCGTGAGAAAATTCTGGTGGTCCGCAGAAAAAATATTTGCATTTGTTATATTAGGACCTTGTTCCAGTGGGACTGCATCATGGCCTGGAACTGGCTGACCATCTCAGCCCGCTGAGCCTCCAGGCGCCGGTACCTGGCCTTGCACTCCTGCAGGTCTTCCCTCTGCTTGGAAAGCCTATGCTCCTAGTCCTCAGTGAGGTGCTTCTGCTGAGCCTCCTCCTCGGTCAGATCCAATTTGAACTGAGCTGTTTTGCCAACTCTTTCTCGTGGTGGCTGCTTAGCTCCAGCAACTGCTTCCTGTTGGGGGCGCCCCTCGACGTGAGTGTACATCGAGTTGGCCACGCCCACCCAGTCACATGACCACCTTGCCACGCCCACCCAGCCAGTCATTAGGCAGATCATAATCGTGATCCGCGGGATTTAAAATTATGAATGTAGTGGTCCCTGGGGTCTGAAAGGTTGATGACCCCTGCTTTAGAGTGGCCAAAGTATGCAAGTCATTCCTGGGGTGCTTCCTTAAAGAAGAAATGTGCCTTCTCTGGGCCCTGCAGATGGACCATGAAGTCCTAGGGAAACATATGCATTGAGGTATGGAGATCCCATCAACATGCCTACGATGTCATAGAAGTGCCTTATCACAGCCTGTTAGCACCACCTTATCTGTGTTTTCCCGGGATTGCATGGCCATTGAGGGAGCCCAGGAAAAAGACGATGCTTCTTTAAAAGGTATCTTTTCCCCCAGCTCATCTTACCTTATTTGTTTGGAGGGATTAGCTTTAAGCCGGTGTGTACCTTCAAGGTGTACGGCGTTATAGTTTGGAGATGGTGTGAGCCGTACCTGGGCACATCTGGGGAATATCAATTTGAGGAAAGCTAATTCAAGGGACGGAAAGCCTTTTTAACATTCCTAAGTGGTACATAACAATACCTTCCTGAAAACAACGCTTTAAGCAGATAAGTGATGTTGCACAGATTAAGAAGAGTTGCTTCTTTAATCAAAGAATACAGGTTCCAATAAAGTTGTAATAGTGCTTCTTGAACTTTTGAGTGAAAAAAAAAAATTGGTTGCAACATCTTTAAAATTGAGTCATTGTGTGTAATGCACTACCACGATTTTGGACAGAATAATAGAGTTGGACGGGATCTTAGAGGTCTTCGAGTCCAACTCCCTGCACAGGAAACCTGCTGTCCCACTACTCAGGAAGCCCTATACAGTAGTGGCGAAAATTGTGGAAACCTTTTGGGAAAAGTGTATTTTTGAGATTTGATGGCTAATAACACCACTTTTTGGGGGGAGTTTCAAGATAATCATATTCCACTGAATGTGGAATGGCCTGGGAATAACCCAATTGAAAATCTAACCCAATTGAAAATCTATGGAGCCGACTAAAAGAAACTTCTTGGTCAAAAGCGACCCAGCAATTAAACCCAGTTAATAGAAGCAATCCTTCAATCTTGGTTTCACATGATAACAGCTGGAGAACTAAAGGACTTGGTTCACTCCATGAGAAGACGTTGTAAGGCCATAATTCATGCTAAAGGTTACCCAGCTAAGTATTAACTGACAGGGTGATAATTTTTGTATATCTCGTTTTTTTCTATGGTGATAATTTTTGTATATCTTGTTTTTTCTACGTGTTTTATCCTTTATACTGTAAATGCTATTCTAATAGCAAATCCTTCATAAAAATTACTACATTACATTCTTGATTAAATTATCTTTCCAACGATATATAATTTTATGGTACTACTCCCCCCCAAAAGTGGGGATATTAGCTAGTTTTAGAAAATACACTTTCCCCAAAAGGTTTCCACAATTTTGGCCACTACTGGATGGACATATGAGACCATTGAATATAGCAGATTTTTCTTTGTAATGCAGATGCATAGAATTAAGATGTGTTTTTCACAGTGTGTTTTTCTAGAATAACGCAAAGACCGATGATCACTGTTTAGAATAATCCCTGGCTGTTGAGCATAGAACTAGAGAATATGTCTTTTCTATCCTATATAAGCATAGAACAATGATGAGATAATGTTTCCGGAGATCTAATAACTTACAAAAAGATGCCCTTTTTAAATTTTTTTTATTTTTGCAAAGGCTACGGACTGCCGGATGACATCGTGATAGAAAAGCAAGGGAAGCCACATGCTTTTGTTGACTGTACCGGAAAGGACGTGAAAATCTCTAACCTGAAGCTCATCCAACGTGATACGGAGAAAGGCATTCTGAGTGAGTTTGTTTGAGCTGGCCTGCTGATTTCCCAAGTCAAATGAGGCCTATACAACCAATGGATGTTCTAAAATGTAACAGTATATCTGATAGCAATAACCCTTAGACCTATCTACAGCTTCGCTGTGCTTTACAGTCCTCTCTAAGCGGTTTACAGAGTCAGCCACGTGCCCCCAACAATCTGGGTCCTCATTTTACCCACCTCGGAAGGATGGAAGGCTGAGTCAATCTCGAGCTGGTCAGGATCGAACTCCTGGCAGTGAGCAGAGTCAGCCTGCAATACTGCATTCTAACCATTGGGATAAAGGAAGGAAGGAAGGAAGGAAGGAAGGAAGGAGGAAGGAAGGAAGGAAGGAAGGAAGGAAAATAGCAAAAGCACTTGGACTTATATACCACTTCTCAGTGCTTTTACTGCCCTCTCTAAGTGGTTTACAGTGTCAGCCTATTGCCCCCAACAATCTGGGTCCTCATTTGACCGATCTTGGAAGGGTGGAAGGTTGAGTCAACCTTGAGCCCGTCAGGATCGAACTCCTGGCAGTGAGCAGAGTCAGCCTGCAATGCTGCATTGTAACCACTGGGATAAAGGAAGGAAGGAAGGAAGGAAAATAGCAAAAGCACTTGGACTTATATACCACTTCACAGTGCTTTTACTGCCCTCTCTAAGTGGTTTACAGTGTCAGCCTATTGCCCCCAACAATCTGGGTCCTCATTTGACCGATCTTGGAAGGGTGGAAGGTTGAGTCAACCTTGAGCCCGTCAGGATCGAACTCCTGGCAGTGGGCAGAGTCAGCCTGCAATACTGCATTCTAACCACTGAGCCACCATGGGTCTATTATATAGGCGTTATCGTCTGCTGGCTAACCTGTAACAAAAGCCACCAGGAGAGAATAGCGCCCAAGTAGCACTCACTGGCACCCTTAAATTGGTTGCTGACTTCTCTAGTAAACTTAATGCACTGAACCATGAATCAACCCCATCGTTGGGTTTGCTAAACTAGCACAAAGCTAGTTTACCTAACGATCAATTTTTTTTTTTTTTTTTTAAATGGTAAAGTTAGAAAATAAACCAACGGGAACAGATTTGCAAGAAGAAAAAACTCAGGAAAAAAAGTGGAAGTGTAAGGAAGAGAGAGAAAAAAAGAAAGAAAACTGGAAAAAGAATGACTTCCAACTTTCTTTGGTAGAGATAAAAGTAAAAAGAATACACAAAACTCTTCTAGGATTGACAGACAATGCTATAGAAAATGGAATCAAGGGCAAGAGCCACCAAGTATAGCATGTTGTAGAAATGCATTTGTTAGGGATTTAAAAAAAACAAAAAAAAAAACCAGACTGGTTGTCTGAATGCAGTCTTTGTTTTGTACACAGAGAAATATTCCAATGGTAGACAATACATTTAACTCAGGGTTGAACTGTGGAACCCTTGATATTCTCTGAAACTGGCTGTTTGTTTGCAACCAAGTACTCTTGATCAGGAGTGAAATCCAGCAGGTTCTGGCAGGTTCTGGAGAACCGGTAGTGGAAATTTTGAGTAGTTCAGAGAACTGGCAAATATCACCTCTGGCTGGTCCCAGAGTGGGGTGGGAATGGAGATTTTGCAGTATCCTTCCCCTGGAGTGGGGTGGGAATGGAGATTTTGCAGTGTCCTTTCCCTGGAGTGGGGAGGGAATTGAGATTTTGCAGTATCCTTTCCCTGGAGTGGGGAGGAAATGGAGATTTTGCAGTATCCTTCCCCTGGAGTGGGGTGGGAATGGAGATTTTGCAGTGTCTTTTCCCTGGAGTGGGGTGGGAATGGAGATTTTGCAGTATCTTTTCCCTGGAGTGGGATGGGAATGGAGATTTTGCAGTATCCTTCCCCTGGAGTGGGGAGGGAATGGAGATTTTGCAGTATCCTTCCCCTGCCACGCCCACCAAGCCACGCCACACCCACCAAGCCACGCCCACCGAACTGGTAGTAAAAAAAATGTGAATTTCATCCCTGCTCTTGAAGTTACCAACTCTGGTAACAAAGCAATTGCAAGCAAACAACTAAGGTCAGAGAAGATCCAGGACTCCACAGAGAAATATATTTGAGGATCGCATCCATTGGGTAACGCCTGCTTCTTGATTATACCGTAATATTCAGAATTAAAAAGTTTTAGGGTATCCATTGTTCTAATTTTATTGCATTCCCCTTTTCCTGTGCATTTCTTTTCCATGTTAATAATATTGATTTTATGTACCTTGCTAAGACAGACAAACAGGATGCGTTTTCTTAGTTCGCTGTTCAAAGTTTCTTTAAAAGACTTTGTTTCCTAATGGGACCTGCCACCTCTCTTGTCCTCTTTTTCTTCCTCCCTCCCTCCCCCCCCCAAATTTAATGAATTTTCGTTAGCTGTGTCCCTCTGCCTTTTGAAGAAGGTGATAATTAACACTTCATCATCTGAGATGTGGATTTGAATAACAAATGCTCCATGGGCTAGCAAGATAATTTCAGCACCTTTTATGTGAAAATATATTCACTCACCAAAAAAATATATATATATAATAATAATAATTGGGGAGGGGGTGCTTGAGCCACCCTTGAAGAAAGTTATTAATTGCTTGCCCCTAATATATTCTTTAACAGAGTAAATTTATACATTGTGTCCTTTTCAAAAAAAGAAAAAAAAAGTTAGTGTTGAATATGAGCTTCTGGCATTTCGATGCGAGAAAATCAAGAACTGGTCTAAAACTTCGCCACGAAATGCTTCTTTCATTCTCAAAGGTTCCTTTCTCCATCTTTGTAGTCTCCAAAGCGTTGGGCAACCAGCCTCCTGCAGATTAAAGATTTGGGGAGTAGCAGCCCAATAGTTCAAAGATTTATCATTAAATTTTTTTTTTAACTGACTTGTTTAGAATAACGCTGTTCTGTTTCTTCGTACGAGACTTCGGAAAGCCCGTGCGTTGATTGCTACTTTTATCATCAAGAAATGATTGCGCTCATTGATTTTTAATCAAAGCATGTGTCATCCACAAAAGAACTTGCCTACCGGCTTGTGCAACTCAACATGCACCTGGGCCTTTGTGTTTCGAGACCAATTATCCAATGGATGGCTGCGTTTGTGCAAATCAGCCTCCGTTGACTTAAGCATGAATTGAGGTACCCGACAAAAGATGTTTTCCTGAAGCATTTCGGAATTCCTTGTTTATGCTCGGCGGGAAATTTTTTTTTGCCTTTTCAAGTCTTGTTTGTGCGCCCACAAATTCAAGAGCAAAATGTCTTTTTGCAGGTGTTCATCAAGGAAGGACTACTCTGGAAAACTGCGTGTTGCAGTGCGGAGTTACTGGAGTTGCGGTCCGGACATCTGCCGAGTTCTTAATGAAGAACTCTGACCTGTATGGGGCGAAGGTAGGAAGGGATATTTCCATTCGTTGGTTGTCTTCCTTCCCAGAGCATCAAAGAGCTTCTATGAATCCATCACTGTAGATGACACTTCTTACCAAAAAACGATGGATTGACAACAAATAAAGTGTTCAAATAAAAGAGACCTGGGTTACCAAAACCATTGATGGCACATTGCAAAATCTGGCAGAAATCCAAGAATGAATATCTTGATAGCTCTATGCATGTCTGTTGAGAAATAGCTCTTGCTGTGACCTTCATAGGTAAAGGTTCCCCTCGCACATACATGCTAGTCGTTCCCGACTCTAGGGGGCGGTGCTCATCTCCGTTTCAAAGCCGAAGAGCCAGTGCTGTCCGAAGACGTCTCCGTGGTCATGTGGCCGGCATGACTTACCAAACAGTCCTCATTGGCTGATCTGTTGCTATGCCCTATTCCAGTTCATGAATATACTCTGACCATATGGTCTCTCCTATTTTTTGACCTGCTTCGTAACCGTTTCTTCTCCTCTTATATTTCAGGGTGCTGGGATTGAAATCCACCCAGGCAGCACCTGCATTTTGACGGGGAATGGGCTACACCATTGTCGAGAAGGAATCCTCATCAAGGTGTGTTCTAGCTTGAGAGTTGAGTACCTTAAAAAAATACACTGCACTTGAGTCTGTGGTTGAAAACGATTGTTTAGCTATTCTGGTTTTTCCTCTCGTTTTAACAATCTCTCTCCCCCTGAATTTAAAAAAAAAAACAACCCGCAAAGAACCAGGAATGGAAGCATATGGCAAATTGGCTCCTTTGCAAACACCCAATGTCATTGCATTTTGTTCGTTTTGCGAAGTAAAAAGTTTTGTGTTTTTTCCATCGTATAGTAACTCTTTACGGTGCCCTCGGTTTTATTACTTCTTACTTCTTCGGTTTGCGTATTGCAAACCGAAACTGGAGTTGTTGTAAAATTCCATGAATGAGAATTGATTGGATATTCATTGTGCAATTAAAAAGTTCTCAACGTTTCTGTACCTAAAAGCAAGGGGGAAAAAAATCCACTGGTAGGAAGATAGAATTTTTATTGGGTTATTTCCCTGTGAGATCAAAAGAGTGTGTTTGGTGAATGTCTCCTTCCCTTTGTCCTCACTAAAGACCCTGAAGCTAGTTTGGGCTGAAAGAGAGAGAAATTGTTCCAAGGTCACCCAATAACCTCCATGATCAAGCTAGGATTAAATCATGGCTCTCTTCTGTCCAGATTTGATAAAAACAACATTGCACAATACTGCAGAACCGATTAGGAAATTAGGAGGAGGATTCCAGAGGCTGCTTTCTGTACTTCTGGTTAACATCTGGATGGCAGATGTTGGCAGGATGATGAATAAAGGCAAAGGTTCCCCTCGCACATATGTGCTAGTCGTTCCTGACTCTAGGGGGCGGTGCTCATCTCCGTTTCAAAGCCGAAGAGCCAGCGCTGTCCGAAGACATCTCCGTGGTCATGTGGCCGGCATGACTCAATGCCAAAGGTGCACAGAACGCTGTTACCTTCCCACAAAGATGGTCCCTATTTTTCTACTTACATTTTTAGGTGCTTTTGAACTGCTAGGTTGGCAGAAGCTGGGACAAGTAATGGGAGCTCACCCCGTTACGCGGCACTAGGGATTCAAACCGCTGAACTGCCGACCTTTTGATCGATAACCTCAGCGTCTTAGCTTCTGAGCCACCGTGTCCCTTTAGGATGGAGAATAGCCCTAGCCTTTGTTATTGGTTCTTTGCTCTCCATAAAGTCATTGCATGTGGGCCTTCAGCTTTCCGTCTGCAGATAATTTGTAAAGTAGTCTTCTCAGAACCTTTGCACTGGATAAATCTCATGCAGTGCTCTCCCCCCCCCTTCTCTCTCTCTCTCTGCTTTTAGAACTTTTTGGATGAGCAATTTGACGTGCCCAAGATAACCATGAAGAACAATGTGATACACAATAATGAAGGCTATGGTGTGTTACTGATGAAACCTAAAGAGGCTAGTGAGGTCACGCCAGAAAGCACGTCAGGTATGGTTTTATAGATGTTATTTACAGTACGGGCAATTGAACGGCATGGTGGCCTGGAGGTGGAGCTCTCGCCTCACAATCAGGAGGCTGTGAGTTCGATCCTTGGTAGCAGCAGATATTTCTCTCTTTGGACACAAAGGGGAAAAATATCTGCTGTGAGCTCTGTGTAGGCGTCGGGAAGGGCATCCGACCAGTAAATGCTCATCTCCATTCAGCCGCTTCGACTTCACCCTGATTCAAGGGATTAAAAAAAATTACAGTACAGGCAAATCCATCAGCATTGCCATTAAGCTTGCAGAAAGGGCATGGTGCATGCATGGTATAGTTTGCAATGTAGCCTAAGCCGGTGTTTTCATACTGCAACAGTTCAGTTCCCCAATGCACTAAATCAGAACCAACCAATCAAACCGTATTATGGCCCAGCAGTGTGATAAATGAATCCATTGTAGATCAAGTCAAATGCTATGAATCATAGACTGACTTTTACCAACAAACGGTCAAATCAATTTGGTGTCGCTATTTCTGATTTAGAACAGCCGAAAGAGAGCGCGTCCGCTGAAGGTGCCATCACTGAGATCTGTGAAGGTCCTCATGAATTGGATTGTGGTGAAGTGGACCCTTACGGAAGAGACGATGACGACAATGAGGGAGAAGGCAATTTTCAGATTTCAAAGGAGCTTTGGGCCACCTCGCTGAAGAAGAAGCAGCTGTGCCAAAAGAGACTGAGCCAGTTGGAGATCCCAGAGGCAGACAGCCAGACGTCTCAGGAGATGTTTGTGTCCATCCTGGGCAACCAGTTCAAGCGTAACGGGAAAGGGTGTTTTGGAACCTTCCTTTATTGACTTTCCGAATTATATTATCAACCCAACAAGAATAACCAGCCAGCTAAGCACTGACACTTTCCAGAATAGCTAAAACTATTTTTTTTTTAAAAAACTGTTTTTTTTAAAAAAAAATAGTTTAAACCTGGTTATATATTCCTGTTTCACTGTGTCCTTCGTGTGTTCTTTTCAGCAGTGGGTGTTGGGCTTCGCAGCAGTGAAATGCGTGTGTTGGCTTGGAGCAAGTTTTGAAGCCATAACTTGAAAGTTGAAAGCTCTCCCATGAGCCTCCCCGAAGGGAGAAGCTTCATTCTTATTGGCTCTGTGTATCCGTTTATTATTATACTATTTATATCTAACATCGATCACCTCGTTTTAAAAATAAAATAAAGCTCTGTACGTTTAAAGGGAGACTGTTGGCGCTGCCCTTCTACCTCGGGACTGCAGGTAAAATGAACATTTGTTGTTTGAGTAATGACTGGGTGTTGGTTTCAGCTACATTGAGTAAACCTTTGTATTTAGCAAAATTGTCCTCTTGCATTACTTGTCCGGTTGATTGGGCGTGCAGGAAGCTGTTTATTTTGCTCTTTGCTCTCCAGTTTATTTCTGCCTAGCATTGAAATCCCTAATTCAGTGATAGCTAACCTTTTCTGGATTGAGTGCCCAAAGCGCGTGGGCACCTGTGCAAATTTACGCATGCACCCAAACCTCCAAAATGTAATGCGTGTGCAGCCCCCACACATGCGCCCCACCCTTGCACATGCACACACAGCCCCCTGTGCATCATCCCATCCCCATGTGTGCCCCCTGCACACCCCTGCCTCCCCACGCATGCGCGTGTGCCCCACCACATGCCCTACTCCCCAGCGCATGCATGGGAGAGACCCAAAGACGAGTTGGCTGGCAGGTGGCAAGCACGCATGCGCAGCGGAGCTGAACTGTGGCGATGGCTTGCGTGCCCACAGAGAGGGCGCTGAGTGCCACCTCTGGCACGTGTGCCATAGGTTCGCCATCATGGCCCTAGTTGAATATGTTGGACCAAGCCTACAAAGAACGTGGTTGAATCTAAGTAGCACATCCAGTGGTGAAATTCTATTTTTTTTACTACTGGTTCTGTGGGCGTGGCTTGGTGTGGCTTGGTGGGTGTGCCAGGGGAAGGATACTGCAAAATCTCCATTCCCGCCCCACTCCAGGGGAAGAATACTGCAAAATCCCCATTCCTGAGGGAAGGATATTGCAACATCTCCATTCCCATCCCACTCTGGGGCCAGCCAGAGGTGGTATTTGCCAGTTCTCTGAACTACTCAAAATTTTCGCTACCGGTTCTCCAGAACCTGCTGGATTTTACCTCTGAGCGCATCTGAATGTGTATTGTGTCAGGTTTCGAGGTCGTCTCAAATAAATTGCATTTCAAACAAAGTCTTTGAAGAAAAAGTCCCATTTATTAAGCACGACATTCTAAATCCGACTCCATCGTAGCCAACACTGACTTCCAGACTCCAAATCCTCCCTTTCCATTCCCCACTCCCCTGCACTCAGTGGCCATCTTCCACTCTACCCCTAATCTACTGCTCCAGCTCAAAGGAATTTCCCCCCTCCCATCCCATCTCCTAGGGGATATTATCTCCAGGGAAAATAAGTAGGTGAAAAGTCAAACATCCCTTTCCAGATGCCTCCGCTTTTCCTTCTTATGTCAGCACTAGAGTAAATGCAGCTTGAAGTGCTGACATATTGATTAGTTAAGTTGGGTCCTGTTCACAGCTCACAACTTCCACTTTTTGCAGGGAATAAGCTAGTTCTCCATCATTATATACGCAAATCCCCAAGCCCATCTCATTTTTCTAACAGCAGACGTTTTGTTATTACTTTCCCCCCACTTCCCAGTGGATTTTTATTTGTTCACATACTCATGGTATGTATTGATATTTATTTCACAGCGAAGCAGCACATAAAATACTTTATGCGATGATGTTCTTCTCAGTGCTCCTTCGTAACAAATCGATAAGTCCAGAAAGTTGGGCTTCAAAACTTCGATAAATAAAGAGAAGTTAAAAGTGATCAATGCTGGGATTGACTTGCCTTTGCTCCTGTGGATACGGTTATTTGCAGAAAGGTGAATTGTTGAGAGAGATGGACTGTTGGCTTCTCTTTCAGAAAGACCTGAATTCATCTTCTAACTGTTAATATGGACTAGAGGGGATTCACACAGACACACACACACACACCGTAAAAATAGGCCAGTGTTTCCTCAGGATAATTCTCTAAGCTAGAATCACTACTTGCTTTGTTTAAATAAGATGCATTACTAGATGATGTTATGGGTTGCATCAAAAAAGTTACGCCTTAGGTTGGTTGGGTTGATATGTCTTCCAAAGGACAGCATACTAGGGTGCTACAATGATGTTTAGTGTTTTGCCTCTTGATAGTGGAAGAATAATAATATAACTTTATTACGGTCATCGACCAGCAATAGACATACAATAAATTAAAAATAATACTGACATTAATCGTGAATAATAACGTCCCTGTTATGAAAATACATGATCTCAAACCGTTAGGGTCATTCCCTAATTTACATGAGTGGAGAGCCGATAAGTATGTGAGTAAATGTATTTTTCTAAAAATTGTTATAGATATCTCCAAAAAATTGGCACAAGTTGACATCTATAATTCTGTAACCAATTTTTTTCTTGTGGACATTGCAGCGACACAGAATTTTGCCACTGCCCGCGTGGTAGCCGGGTTTGAGTCTTGGAGGAGGAAGCCTACATAAAAGTTGTCTGTCCTCTTGGCAATCTCTCTAGTAAGGGAAGAACCTCTTGATAGTGAAGGATGGAGGGAGTGGTGCTGTGGCTTAGAGGTGGAGCTCTCGCCTCACAATCAGGAGGCTGTGAGTTCAATCCTAGGTACAGATATTTCTTTCTCTGGGCACACTGAGAATAGATCTGCTGAACAAAACTCCGCATTGGTGACAGGAAGGGCAATCGGCCATTAAAACACTCTGCTAGCTCCATTCAGTTGCCCAGACTCTATCCTATAAGGTCATTAAATGAAGATGACAGTGAAGGATGGAGGTGGGACCTGTGGACTCTCCTTATAACGATCAACTCATAATTACCCCAACCCAAGTGACAATGTCATTGACGATCTTGTAAAGTTTAGAAAGGCAGAAGTGAAGTCAGAAGGCAATAGGGACATTGTGGACAAAACCAGAATTTGGGGTTCCGTTGCTCCTTTGTTGTTTGCTGAATCTTGTTTTATCCAGTGGAGAATATGGAACTGTGTGTGCTAATGCATCTTATTGACTGCACTTTTAAAGATTGAAATTCCTGATCGGTTGATTGAACTGAATAAAGTCTACATCTCATTCAACCTCCCCACTTGGATACCCTGGAGATGCATGGGCTTCAATTCCCAGAATTCTTCAGCCAACATGGTCATTAATTACATTCTGGGAATCAAAATTCACACGACTGGAGAATGCCAAGATTGGGGAACTGACTGTTCTACTTTATTTTATTTTAAGAAGCACTTACTATTTCTGGCTCTTCTCTTATTTTATTTTTAATTTATCTGCTGAAATGAAAACTGAACTTGGTCTACTCATTTTTTTCTTGAAACTTGGGATGTGATTTTTTTTTTTACTCACTGCCAGATCACTGGGCATATACACTGTGACCCGGTTCTTAAAGGAGACAAAAGGTAAGTACTAGAACTAATTTACACCTCTGTGTAAACCCGATTTGCCGTCGCAGTGGCCCTTGGATCTTAGGAAAACAATAAGGCACGGCAGAAAAATAAGCTTTCAGACATTCGGGTCTATGAAATGAAGTAACTTTTTCCTCTATTTTATTTTGGAACTGATTCTCTGGTCCCAAATGGATATTTTAATGAGGTGAAGAAAGAACTGATGACAATATACCTGTCACTTACATGCTGATGGATTCAGTTTCTATGCCGCTTCCCACAAGTAAGTTCTTTATTTTTAGACTCCCCTAATGAAACAAATGTCTTAATGTGCATAGTGATTAGGTCATCTTATCTGCCAGCTATTTGCCAACGAGAGCTGGACTCTAACACTTGCTCACAGCACGAGACGCATATTAATGGACGATTTGCTTATGCGCTTCTCCTCTTATATGCTAATTTGCTCCATGCAAATAACCGGCTTGATGCGGATTTTCACACCAGAGTTCTACAAAATAGATATACGGTTGTGGCAAGGTTGAACTTCTAGGGCAAGGTGGCGAGAAGGTCCTAACAAAAGATAGCAATAACATTTAGACTTCTCTTATGGTTATGGTGCAGAATTGCAGGAAAACTCTGCCCACAGTCTGGAGTTCAATCCTGATGGGGCTCAAGGTGGACTCAGCCTTCCATCCTTCCGAGGGGGTCAGTAAAAATGAAGACCCGAGTTGGGAGCAACATGCAAATAATGCTTCTACATTGTAAACCACTCAAAGGATGCTATATAGTACTGTAGGATGGTATATAGCTGGGATGGCGAACCTATGGCATGCGTGCCCGAAGTGGCACACAGAGCCATGTCCCCTGGCATGTGCGGCGTCACCCGTTCCTCTTCTGGGTTTCTGGTTCGCATGTGTGCATGACAATCAGCTGGCTTTTTTGCATGTGGCAGTGCCAGAAACTGGAAGAGCTGGTCTTCTCTTTTCCTGTGAGAGCATGTGCACCGGCCAGCTGATTGTTGTGCGCGCATGCACGTCAGAAACCCAGAAGAGTAGCTGGCTGAAATCGGAAGTTCAGTAGCTGAAACCGGAAGTTCATTTTCGGGCGCGCACATGCGTCCTGGGCAGTTCCTCTTCTGGGTTGCAACCTAGATGTGCACGTATGCTCCCTTTTCAGCACTTGGTGCTGAAAAGGTTTGCCATCGCTGGTATATAGCGATAGCATTTGGACTTAATAATAGTAATAATAACCTTATTGTCATTGTACGTGTATACACAGTATACCCATACAACGAAATTCACTTAACACCCAAAGACCAGGTCCAACACACATAACAATCTCCAAACAACACCCACCCACCACAAACTTATATACCACTTCACAGTGGTTTACATCCCTCTCTAAGTGATTTACAGACTCAGCATATTGGTCCCAACCATCTGGGTCCTCATTTTACCAACTTCAGAAGGATGGAAGACTGAGTCAAGCTTGACCCCATCAGGATTAAACTCTTGGTAGTGGGCAGAGTTAGCCTGTAATACTGCATTCTAACCACTGCACCACCACAGCACTTGATGGTGCAAACAGAGAAGGAGATCAACCCCTTCTCTTTGTCTTCTGCATTGCCAAAAGCCACTCTTCTGAGTCACTTGGTTTGCAGAGAGAACAAGAAAGAGTAATTTGCAAGGGTCAGTCATGCCACTGCTGAAGCAGAAGGGAGCCGAGCAAGAAGGAACACAAAAGTTTAACATATGCAAAAAAACCAAAGAGACGGGTGCCAAGGCAAAAATACGGCATCAATTTGCTTCCTCTCAAAATTTACCCTCCCTTAATGGTCCTTGAGATGAATGATGGATCCGAGACTGTGTATTTAATTTAGAGAAAGGTTCATTCAGGGGAATCAATGACAACCCCAAGGGTAATTGTACTAATTCAATGGGAAACAAGAAAAATCAGGTTTTTCCAATCTCGTCGTCTCTTTGGATGGATGGAGCTACTTGTGTCTGAACAGATCTTTGGATGGAGGCAGATTTCTAATTTTGACTATTTTAAATTTATGTATTTGTTAAAGTTATAACCTCACCCATCCCGTTCCGTACAGCGACTCTGGGCAAGCTTACTATTCAAATGACAAATGCGACAATATTATGAAGGAAGGTAAATTATATCTGTCCTAGGATAATGTTCTAGGGTCCAATCGGAGTCAATCGCCGGGATCAAAGGTTTATTCTCCCAAGATTTTGGGCTCACGCTGGAGCCCATCTTCAGGGAATTCTATTCTCTCTCCAGAATTTCTCTCTCTCTCTCTCTCCATAATATTTAAAAATATTAGAAACAAAGTGTCAGAGTATGAATATTCATAGACTGGAATAGATCAGCCAATGGGGACTGTTTGGAAACTGAAACAGAGTATTTGTTTGTATGGAGCTATAAGAGACAGTTTGGAGTCTGGGCATGGCTTAGACTTGCTGAACTGTATATAAGAGTTGGTTTGGCCTCTGTAATGGGAGCCTCTGTATGATATATTAGTCTCTATATCTCTCTACTCTGTAATTTCTTGCTTCTATGACTATTGCTTCTGCGTTCCTGATATTGTATGCTGAATTTTCCTGTATGGTATTGTATATAAAGAAGTTTCATATGTAATTTGAATTCTGCAGAAGTTCATTTAATTATGTCTGATTGTGTGTGCTGCAAGAAACTCTGACCCAGAGCTTTGAAACGAAAGACAA